AAAAAAAAAAAAAAAAAAAAAAAAAAAAAAAAAAAAAAAAAAAAAAAAATGGCAACTGGCTCAGGGGCCAACGAGCACGCTGCCACCGCCGATTGATGGCCCGGAGCCAGCCGAGACGGACTACGACGAGCAAGAGCAGGAACACGAGCACGAGCACGAGCAGGAACAGGAACACGAGCAGGAGGATGAGTACGAGGAATTCCCCGATGAGAACGCCAACATGGCTGAGCAATAATTATTGTCACCCGCTGGAGATGAGAACACTACCACTACAGGGAACAACAACAACCCACACAATCGACTCGTGCACCGATGATAATGATGATGACGATGATGCCTTACCTACACCTGTCCATTACTATATACCGTCACGCATTTAACTCTAATATACTCACTAAGCTTTTATTGCTGACATTTTGTCATCGGAGATCCGTCAAATCTTACGTCTCATTTACTAGAGAAAACAACAAATAAAACAAACAAAACATTATACACGTATCTCCATACATATATATATATATATACATATATATACATACACGCATACTAATCAAGGCCTAACGATTGGGACTCACTGCTCGTGGTAAGGTTATAACATTGTTCTAAGCTAATAAATCTTTGTTTTGTTTCATTTGTATATTTTGTATTTTTTTTTTTTTTGTCTGTGGAGGTTCCATTGCATGCTAGCGTTTTGGGATTTTTATTGGTATTGAATCAATAATTACTAAACCGTAGTAGTAAACTAAAACAATAACTTCTTATTTAATCGAACTTTATGCTATTGTTGTTTGTCCGATTTTCTGTACGAGGCATTTCATAGTAATTATAAATATTCAGGGATAAATTGTTGTTATACTTTTACAGTGAAAGTCACTCGATGATTGAATAAAAATATACAGATTTAAAATATTTTTAAGGAGGTGAGTAACAGTTCTTTGAATCTCGGATCTAGATAAAATTAAGAGATGTATGCTTTTAATGTTGAGATACAGTGAGAGCCATGTGATTAGATGCTTACAGGTATACTTGAAATTTTTGAAGTTACGGTGTATTGGGATATGGTTTACAAAAATAAAAATCACGGTATTATTTTTTTATTTGAGGTATTAGCTGTAACGAAATGAAGCTGTAACGTACTGTATTTTTAAGGACACATAGATATCCTATCTTGAAAAGGAGAATGATTTCGGATGCAGCCTTTTATTCGTTATGTGATTGGTTCAGCCGAGATCACGTGATTATTATTCAAATGTCACTCATGGGTTGCAAAAATTAACTGTTTTAGAGTCACTATTACAATCATTTCTTGTTTTAAAATGTGCTTGAATTTACGATTTCATTAAATTACGCAAGGTAAAAATATTTCATGATCAAAAAAGTCAATACTACTTGTGAATTAAAAAACTGCTTATCGGAGTATGCATTTTTTTAAAATATTCTTTATAAAGATGCAAAACGTATTAGATTCGTGCCGTGGTGTTACAAAGTAGAGTCAAGACTTAAACCTACGTTCAGTTGGTTAAAAATTTATTTTATCCATATCCACATCACATTATAAACTTTATTAAGTGTAACGGAAAAATTGTCAAGTATAATTAACAAAATTATAAAAATGAAAAATTAAAGCTCCTACATCAATTGCATCAAGTCAGTCCAACAGTCCAACTGACAATTTAATCAAATTTTTAATACAAAATCGTAATTTGGTAAAATGATTTCATCATCCAATCAAGCTGAAACCAAACTGTAAGATATTCTCGGAAGAATGATGTAGAATATAATTTTGTTTCAAAGATTCTAGTTTTCAAAATAGATAACACAAAAAATAAAGTTTAAGCACTAATATTTAACGTATTCAGATTATTCTTCAATCCTCAACTTATAATCTCAAGTCCCAAGTCATAAAAGTAATTGTGTAAAGGACACATCATTCCTATTAAAATAACTTTATTTGAGTAGTTATAGAGTAAAATTGTGTACTGACTTCTGTATACGTGGCTCTTGTCACATTTTCTCATAAAAAAATATACTTCATAATTTTATCGAAATTTATGTTTCAAAGCTCTGACACACTCCTCTAGCAAAAAATAGTGTAAATTTATCGAAATTTTTTCTCTATTTTGTAATAAACGAATGTACCAAATGTATCTCACTATACTATTTTCTATTTTAGCCAAAAAGTAACATCTTACGCAAGTGGTTGGAGGAGGAAGATGAAGAGTAAACATGGACAATGAGTGATCTATTTCGTCGAGGAAAAATCATCGAAGATCTTCCATTATTTCTCTCATATTCTTCATAGAGCATTTGGATTGACTTAAAATTAATTGAAATGAAACATGCAAATAAAAAAAAAAAAAACTTGCCAGTAAGTGTTGTAAATAAATGTACCTACAATGTTAAGCGCCAATAGAATGTGTACATAAATATGCTGAAAATACAAGCAAAAAATAAATTTTTTAATATTAAAGGATAATAATATTGGTCTAAGAAAATGGTTGCATCATGCAGAGTGTGTTTGAATGTGACGCGTTCTAATGCTGAAATATTGTTTATCTTAAGAAATCATTGGTACAAATTTAGTGTCAGTGAAAATATACAAGTTTTTATTTAAAAAATTTATCAAATATCTTCTTTTCGCGGCTTTCAGATATCGTGTCAGCTGTAGCTCCGGTATGAAAAAGTCTGTTTCCATTTATGTGTATATGTGACACTAGAGTTTGTAAAAAATTATTAAGATTAGAATATCCTAAAACGAGCTATTGTATTAAAATCCTAGTTTCAAGAAAGAAGTATTAGAAGTTATAATTATAAGTAAACATTTATAGTATAATACAACTGTTGAAGTGTATAAAAATTACTATACAACGCTCATTTTCGTATACCTATATATATGAGAGTAAATAATGAAATTATTTTATTATATTTATTTGATATTACGGCTATGCTATATATAACACTTTATAAGGTCATATCAAAGTTAAAAAATGTTTAATTTTCATTTATAAAATTAGGTATTATAATAAATATTGTAATGTA